GATCTGCTGAGGATTTTCAGTCTCACTGAGCCGCAGTATTTGAAGGAATTTGAGATGAGCAGCTATGAAGGTTTTGCTTGTAATTTCTTCTCTGCCAGCAGTGTAGCACCTCCTGTACACATGTGATTTCCGACAGTTTGGTGTCTGGATGTAAGCGTTTGACTCAAAGTCCAAATCCTTCTAAGCTTTAGATCAGTGCTGGAAGGAGTCATCACCAGGACAGAACCTGTGAGCTGCACATAAATGCAGACATTCTTGGGCTCAGTGACGTGTAGCATCACCAGCACCAATTAATCAATAACAACATCGTCTTCTGATATTAGACGTCCGGTACAAAGCATAAATATGTCAACTGCCGGGGAGTTCTGTTAGCTTCTAATAGAATTGGGATAGGTGTTGATTCCTCATTTTGTTGAAGTCCACTAGAGTTACATGCAAGCTGCTTTTTCACCTTGAATCTACCCTGTGTATAACAGAGATAATAAAACTGATGCAATGATGCTCAAAAAACTGTGTAGGCGTAAGAATCACTAAAGGCCTATATACAGGCTGATGACTACACCAATGTCAGTAAAATGCTTACTGACATTTTAGAAAAGATACAAATTTATGCCTTTAAAATAACTTTAGTTTTGATTTACACAATACACATGCAAAATCAATGTAAACATAGTTAACCATGATATGGTAGGGCTAAACTTGGATTCGGTAGTACCAGATAGCCATCATCTTGGTGGTTTGAGGCAAATAGAAACAGTCTGAAAAATACACAATTTGTCTTTTAAAGAGATTTTAAGCCTTCAATCAGGACCACGACAGCCAAAATAACTTCTGCAGCCTTACCTATTTACAGTGCTGTGAAAAAGTATTTTCCCCATTTCTGATTTTTATAAATTTTTTGCATATTTGTCACATTTGCATGTCTTAGATTACTAAAAAAACTTCAATATCAGACAAAGATAACCTGAGTGAATACAGAATGTTGCTTTTAAATATTGAATTCCGTTATCAAGGAAAGAACACTATCCAAACCTTCCTAGCCCTGTGTGAAAAAGTAATTGCCTCGTAAACCTAATAAGCAAGCTCTGTGACTAGGACCTCTTGGCCCTTTTCAACTCTCCACACTGAAAGCCTGGGGCAGGTGGCGAAGCAGCAAAACAGTTCAGAGCAGGCGTCATTGACAACATGAAAGCGATTAAGCCAGACACAACATGAACGAAGGAAGGCGGTCTTCAAAGCAGGGTGTTGTCAGCAGTTCACAAATGATTTGTGAGATTTGACAAGAAGAGGCTAATGTGGGCTATCATTTAGATCAGCTGATCAGCCCAGAGTGTGGGCTGATTTTAACCGTGTGGCTTTCCTGATATGAAAAGTCTTACCGTATGTAAGACAACCTGGCAGTTAGTATAATAAAAGGCTGGTAACAGTGTCTCTACAATGTGGTATGGTCAGCTTCGTCTATAGATGACCTGCTTCATGCTTTTTTTGGTAGCACTGACTGGTGGATTGATGCCTTCACATTGCACATTAGCATGCTTTGGGTGGGATCTTTTCTGCTGCGATGTTATCCCGCTACTGTATTCTGATATGCTTGATGATAGCATTACAAAGTCAATGAGTCCTTTGTTTTCCCAGAGCAAACTAATTATGGCCGTTTCCTTCCTGCCCCCGTCTGCTGTATGCTGATAGTGCGCTCTCATCTAAGCCCTCGTAAACATCCGTCAGCTCACAGCGCACTGGCATAGTGGCTGCTGCACGCACTCAATTAACCATGCATGTATCTGTACACACTAAAGTAAATACAATCAGATGGACGTCATACAGCTCGCTGGAGAGGTGCCTGTTTATGCATCGTAATCAGTGATTTGTGGTGCAGAGGGTAACACAGACTATTAGGGGACATACTTGCCTGCCATGAATACTATGGACAAACTGTTTTGAAACCCAGTTTAGCCCGGGATGCCCTGACTGCTATTTAAAGATGCTCCATGTGACACTGCAACATCAGGAAAGCAATACGGCTCTAATTTTGAGGGGATAGTATAATTAGGCTACAAGTGATACTGTTGCTTGGGAGGTCTGGCAACAGGTACTGTCCCTTGGCTCTGCATTTTTTAGTACTGGTGTAGACACATTTGTTGTAAAACCTGCTGTTGTTTACTGAAAGGAAAACATGATGTTGAGCATAAAGTGGGGAATGATGCTGAGACAAAAAGGAGCGGAAACCTCCAGCTGCCCGTGAAGAGAAGTATTTGGATGGTACAAGAATTTTACGCTATGAGGGCAAAAAAGGGAGTGGATCATGAAAAGAAAATCTCCAGCAGTACCAGCTCAGGTCAGGTCTCATGCAGCAGTTCTGGTGCTTTGCTTATGTTAGTAATGCCTTACCAATCAGCCAATCAGAACCTTTTTTTTAAGAGGGGCAATTAGAAGACAGGGGCAGGACCTATAATGGCTTGTTTCAGACGGAAGCTATACTAAAGTTACATATTAATATCAGTATTATTAAGCAGAAATGGCTAAATAAAAAGTGTTTAATTGTCATATATGCAAAAAGTCTTGAGCCACCTCTAATTTCTTTAATATTAGGAAAAATGGCACATATGTGTGGTCAGTATTTGGTGTGACCACCTTTATTCTTTAGCACAGTGTGAACTCTCTTAGGATGCTTTCTTGTCACGTCTTTAAGTCACCTTCAGGAATAGTTCTCCAGGCTTCTTGAAGGGCATTCAAAGCTCTTCTTTCTTCTCCACCACACGAATCCACATACCAACATGCTCGTAATCCAACGCAGGAAAGAGAGCAGCAGGTCTGGGGAGACTGTTCACACAGAGAGAGAAAAATCTCAAAAGCCAAACTCACTCACTCACGAAGTATCACGAAAGCTAGGAACTAACACTAACGTGTCTCATGCAATCATCCAGCGATGACAGGATCTGAGCCCCAGCCTTAAATAGCCATGGAGTAATCAGCTGTGCAATTAGAGCCAGGTGAATGGGCCAAAGGCAGGACCCGACAGTGAGCTCCGCCCAGGCAGAGCGACAAGGGGGAGAGAAAACCACCATAACAAATGTAGCCTCGCGGGGCCAGCCAGGCAGACACAGGGACCATGACACAATAATGTTGAGGTCCGGGCTCTGGGGAGGCCGATCCATGGCTGATAGTGCTCCACTGTGGTATGCTTTGACTGTATTGGCAGTGTGTTTGGGATCATCGTCTTAAAAAAATGAAGCTGTTGCCAATCAGATGTTTTCCAGATGGTTTTGCATGGTGGAGCAAAATCTGATGGCACTTTTCTGTATTCATGATTCATTAATTTTTACAAGATCTCCAACACTAAATGTGGCTTCATCTCTACATCAGAGCTGTTGTCACTGATTTTCAGTCCAGGTTCTTGTGTTATTTTCCTTCCTGAGGTTTTTCTCCTCTTTTTTTCTCCCCTTCATTAAGTACGGCTTCTTGACAGCCACCCTTCCACTGAGACCATTTCTGATGAGGCTTCAGTAAGCTGAAGGTCCAGATGCATCTTTTAGGTCCCATGTTAGGTCTTTGCTGTAGTTTTCCTGTCTCTTAAAGACAAAACTTTTGGATACTGTTCATCTGCTGTAGATATCTGTTTGGGCCTGATGCTTCTTTTTTGGTTTTCTTCCTCAAATTTGTTAAGGCTATCCCGAATACAAAATGCCAAGTTTCTGACATAACACCGGTTCATCCCTTGATTTAGGAGCCTTTTTTATATTTCAGTGGTTAAAATATCAGTATTACGTGTCTTAACAAACAAAAAACATTCATCTGAAAATGGTCAGATACAAAGATGGTGACTGAAAATTAGTCAAAAAAGCAGCCAATGTCTGATAAAGCTTCAGAAAGAACTATTGCCTAAAAGCGCTTCAAAAAAATTGTTTTTAAGCCTTCTTCTTTTGTCCTAGATGTTTCTAGTTTCTGGAAAAGTTTTTTTAGAAACTGTTTTTTCACTTTATTTTTTTTAAGGAGATACTACAAACGATGTTTTTCATCTAATAGCTCCTTGGGAATCACCTTGTTGAAAAAAAATGCTATTTTATTTTATTCATGTCAGAATATGGGATCTTTGGCATCTTTCACAGATTCAACAAAAGAAATGTGAACAAATGATGTGTTTTGGGAAAGGGTGCTCATAGCAAAGTGCCTAAATGGTTCTTTGCTAACTTTTCTGTTATGTGGCTGTTAAGACTGCTTTAGAAAATTACAAGAATGTCAGGCTCACTGGAATCAAAAGAAGGAAACAAGGGGTGGCTCAAGAGTTTTGCACATGACTGTAGCATGCCGAATATTATACACTGTCTTTTGTTTTGAAAGGCAAAACTGTTTGTCAGTCAGATACTTGTGTACAATTCTGTTTCATGTAGTGCATGTAAGCTCACTTAGGCTAGTGATGGTGGTAGTGTGTAACCTGGATTTCTGCCATGATATCTGAGTTGTTATTTAACACAAGCGAAACCACTTTGTACCGTGTTTTCGCCTGGATTCTCGTATACAGACTGACCAAGAAAAGCGGCATGCAAAATAAATGATAGTCATACTATAATGTAATGTGTTTATCCATGTGGGAACTGAGTGTAATGCAGTGTTCATTAGTTTTGTGATGTTCTCTGGAAGCATTCTCTCAGTGTGAGTTGACTGTGAAATGTGATTTTTGCTTGGAATAGATATTTCCCACACAGAGGAACAGTCAAGGGTGCTTTCTTTTTTATAGGCAGTGGTTATTTCTGTTCTGTTGGGAAACACTCAGGCATTCAAGAGGAAATATTCAGAGATGTCTCTCCCCCGCTGTCTCTACAAAAATAAATGCAATTCTTACAGTAGTGTTTTTAAAGCACAATTTAAAGCACTTCAGAGAACTGAGGACACTAGCTGAGTCATTTTTCTGCTTCTACCCTCCTTTACTTACCTATTTTTTACGCGCTCTCCTTAAAAGTCAGATATGACTTCAGCTGGTTTCTCTCTTTCTCCATTTACAGGTCACCACATCATGTCAAACAAATACCAGCTATGAGCCGGTGAGTATGACATGTGCATGCATGTGTTTCAGCAATCTGTGTGTGTGTGTGTGTCAAACAAGACCATTAAGGAAACATTTAAAACTCCTGTTGACCTCTAAAATCCTTTTCATAAATTTGATGGCCCTTCCTAGAATTGTGTCAGAGCCACACACAGCTCTGTGAGGCCGTTGCTGGATGTCAACTGTAAAAGCTTCCTCTCATCTCATAAATGCTGTTTGTACAAGGCAAACCAACTCGAACTGTGTCCTGTAGAGGTGATAATAGCAGTTGGTCACAATCACCATGTGACTGGCAGATCAAACCTAGCCAAAGGTAGAAAATTAATATGCAAGCACAAAGAACTATTCAGCCAATATGTCTGCCAGGAGCACTGGGACATTTCTTGGTGTCTTGATTGTTTTGTTCTGCCATGAACATGAAGATGACCTGGTATTCCACTGTAGCAAGCAGTGATAAGTTGTCAGAGTTCAGGCATAAAACTCACACACTGTCCACAGGCAATGACAAGACACGACAGGCAATGCATGCAGTGTCTACTGTAGGGGTTTCTTTGCAGACAGATTGACCAGAAAAATGCATGGTTTGAAAAAAAAAAGTTAGAGTAGAACGTGAGAAATAACAATAACAAGCTAAAGCTTGTAATACTATATTTTAAAATATATAATACTATATTTTGTATTCAAAATCAGTTTAATTAAAGATCTTGAACATACTGGTGGATTAAAAATTACAGAAACATAAAAGGTTAATTTGGTAATATCCAGTGTTGTTAATTTAGGGCAGATGTGCCATAAACCTTAGATTTAATGGTCATCTGACAAATTTGTTAAGCAATGTATGTGCTGTGATTGGTGTTTCCTGGCCAGTTTTTGCAGGGTGTTTAGCTGTCTCAATGACTTTTCTAAAAGATAAATATTATAACAAGTTTGTTACCTCATAACACAAAACATATACTTGTAACACTGACAATAAAACATTTAAGTCCAAGACGAAATGTGCTTTATGCATTCTTTTCAAGTTAATTGCAAAGCTGCCCAAAATGTTTATCTCATGTTAGTGGTTTTCTTCTTCACTGCCTCTCATGACAAGGTGTCAGTTTACTGATAACTTATCGCTACCTGTGAATGAGTGGGAGTCTGAAAAATCATTGGCACATATGTCCGCCCGCATGTTTAAACATGAACAAGAAGGAAATGAAACCGGGGCTCCGTCATAGTGTGGTTGTGTCACAGGGTCCTTTTTAAGAAATTTTCTAGGCTGTCACTCCTGTTCTCTCACTATGAACTTTAAAGAAGTCCAGACGCTTTTCTTTCCAAGCTCCTTAGACTGTGATGACCTGAATGACTGAGAACCTCCATCCATCCAACCATTCATTTTCTTCCGCTTATCCGGGGCCAGGTTGCGGGGGCAGCTGTTGTAGTCGAGAGATATAATCTCTCCAGCGTGTCCTCCTCCTGGTGGGACATGCCCAGAACACCTCTCCCAGCAGGCGCCCAGGAGGCATCCTTGTCAGATGCTCGAACCACCTTAACTGGCTCCTTTCAATGTGGAGGAGCAGCGGCACTACTCTGAGTGGCCGAACTTCTCACCCTATCTCTAAGGGAGAGGCCAGCCACCCCTCGGATGAAGCCCATTTCTGCCGCTTGTATCCACGATCTCGTTCCTTTGGTCACTGCTCAGAGCTTCGCTTTTACACTCAGCTCTCTCTTCACCACAACAGACCGGTACAGCATCCACATCACTGCGGCCGCTGCACCTATCCATTTGTTGATCTCCCGCTCCCTTCTCCCATCACTCATGAACAAGAACCCGAGATACTTAAACTCCTCCAGTGGAGTGGGCACTCCACCCTTTTCCGGCTGAGGACCATGGCCTCAGATTTGTAGGTGCTGATTCTCATTCTCACCGCTTCACACTCGGCTGCGAACCGTTCCAAGGCGAGCTGGAGGCCATCACAGCATGAAGCCAACAGAACCACATCATCTGCAAAGAGAAGAGATGAGATCCTGAGACCACCCAAGTGAAAGCCTTCCGCCACTTGGCTACACCTAGAAATTCTGTCCATAAAAATTATGAACAGAATCGGTGACAAATGGCAGCCCTGGCAAAGCCCATCACCCACCACGAACGAGTCCGACTTATTGCCGGCTATGCAGACAAAGTATCCTTGAGAGGATGAAGAGCTGATCCAGTGTTCCACGACCAGGACGAAAACCGCATTGTTTCTCCTGTATCCGAGGTTTGACTAGCAGCAACCTGGCATAGACTTTCCCAGGGAGGCTGATGAGCGTGATTCCTCTGTAGTTGGAACACACCCTCTGGTCCCCTTTCTTAAAGATGGGAACCACCACCCGGGTCTGCCAATCCAGGGGTATTGCCCCTGATCTCCACGCAACATTGTAGAGGCATGTAAACCAGGACAGCCCTACAACATCCAGAGCCTTCAGTAACTCTGGGCGGACCTCATCCACCCCAGGGGCTCTGCCACCAAGGAGTTGTTTAACTGCCTCAGTGACCTCACCCTCAGAGGTTGGCGGTCATCCCCTTTGTCACCAAACTCTGCTTCCTCCACGGAAGATATGCCAGGGGATTAAGGAGGTCCTTGAAGTATTCCTTCCACTGCCCAGCAATTTTCTCAGTCAAAGTCATCAGCACTCCACCCGCACTATACACAGTGCAGGTAGAGCACCGCTTTCCTCTCCTGAGTTGCCTGACGGTTTGCCAGAATCTCTTCGAGGCAGTCCGAAAGTTTTTTCCATGGCCTCTCTTAACTCCTCCCACACCTGAGTTTTTGCTTCCGCCACCGCTCGCGCCGCATTCCGATTGGCCTGTCGGTACCTATCAGCTGCTTCCGAAGTCCCCACAGGCTAACCAAGCCCGGTAGAACTCCTTCTTCAGCTTGGTGGCTCCCCTCACCTCTGGTGTCCACCATTTGGTTCCGGGATTACCACCACGACAGGCACCAACTACCTTGTGGCCGCAGCTCAGTGCAGCAGCTTCAGCAATGGAGATGCTGAACATGGTCCATTCGGACTCAATGTCCCCTGTCTCCCTCGAAATGCTGTTGACTCAGGCTCCTTCCCCACCAGAGAGGTGACATTCCATGTCCTGATTGCTAGTCTTGGTAGCCAGGGATCAGTCCGCCAGGATAACTGAGAACCATCACAGACATATTCTCTCGCTATCCCCTTATCCAGCTTTACGTCAATCATCTTGCTTAATACAAAAAGAAAGTATAAGGATTGCAGTAAAGGGGGTGGCTTTTACACAGAGACTTTTAAAAAGCATCCACACATCCTGTGGTGCTTTCAGTAATTTGGTATGAGCTATGCGGATGCTGCCACACTGAGCAGAAGAGGAACGATAGAGAGCCTCAGTGAAAATCATTATTCCCTTTTCCGTTAAAGCTTTCTGTTTTAGAGGATAAAATGGGATTTATGCACTGCGACAACGAGACTTCAGCCATTTTCATTTTAATGAGCTTGAAATTGGAGTTTTCATTCATTTCCACAAAGAATGCTTGCTCAGCAAATGTTAGGTCATGATTAGAAAACCAGGAGAAATACCAATTTGATCATTTCCCTTATTTGTAGTGAGTATTTAATGAACTCAAATATGAGAGGGATCAGTTGGTCCTGTTTTATATTTTTATGATTAAACCACCAATAGTTTGACCAAATTTGGAAGATTACAGGCTACAATAACTACTTTTCACTTATTTACTTTGGGCTTTGGTCTTTTAAAATCACTGCTGCAGCTTGTTAAACAGTCCTTTGGATTTGTTTACAAAGCTCACTGCAACCTAAGACCCTGTACTTAACTCAGTTAAGAGATTTTCCTTAAAACATGGATCAAGCTCTGTATCTCTGTGCCTCTAATTACATACTTTCTTTTTCTTTCCTTCTTTCTCCATCTCTGCCTTGTTCAGGGACAGACATGCACAATTTAAGAAACTGATTTGAAATTTTAACTCTTTATATACCTTTGAATGCAAATACTGTAAAAACTCACAAAATGTCATGAAATTAGTCAGCAGAGACTTCATGCAATAGGATTTAATTGAAAAGTATGACAAGGAAAACTGGATCCAAACATACATCTGTATTTAGTTTGTCTCAGTTGTTAGTTTGGTCAACCCTAAACACCCAAATACCCTAAAATAAGGACATTTGAACTGGCATCAAAATCTGAAGTAACCTCAAAACAACATTTTTTAAAAAAACGTGACTGATAGTAGCTTTTTCGGAGCTAATACTGATGCTAATACTATGTTATTGCTATACTGAACAGAGAAAATTAAGTATTCATTGTTTATGGACTTTCCAACAGTGTTCTAATTTAATATGTAGTTGGCAACTTACCGTGAAGATGCAGATTATCTCCACTCCACCAAATGCTAAGTTGTGATGCTACTCTGCTTTGTGTGCTACAGACTCTCCTGAGAGTTCTGTAATCAAAGGACTTACTGCGCTTTGCTTAATAAACTATAGGATGATGCTATTGCTCAATCACCAAAAACATATTTGTTAGGCATTATGCTCCATACAACAGAAAATATTTTGGCAATATTTATGCTAATATGACTATATCTTTGATAGGAAAATGTTGGCTGATTATATAGAGAAATAGAAATGTTATGGTTTTTGTATTTTCACAAAAAATTAAAAACAAAAGAAGGAATAGTTACTCTTTGTGCTTTCAACAGCGGCTGCAATTTACTTTACATTTGTTGCCTATCTTTTTGCTTTCTTGAAGGGTAAAACATACCTTAAAGCCAAATAATCATATAGCATCTGCTAGTTGGGGTCATTGTTCAAAAAATTAATATATTAATGTAAAATGTAAACATTGCTTGTTACTTCTTGGTTCTTAAAAGTATAAGAGAACGTTAATTAGCAATTTGTTTAGCTACACTTTATGTTACGCTTATGGTACTCTGTAACATGATCTGTCTTAATGATGACACACAAAAACATCAATAAAAGGCTGTGAATAAATATGAACAGATAGCAATAAAGGCTACAAGCCTGCCTGCCTTTGTTACCTGTTGAAGATCAGGCTCTGACTGCTGGGCTGGAGTCTGCATACACTCAGCTGAATCGAATTTAATACAGTAATGCATTACATTACTGTATTACAGGCAAATGTAATGTTGCATTACATTGGAACATGTTACGACTGAAACCTACACACACTGAGTGAGTCTGGTAGGTGACTGTCACCCAGGCAATAAGTGAGAGCGGGACATCCAGCAAGGAAACCTGGTTCTCACATCTCCTTCTCATCTTTTTTTCTCACCATGTTGTTTCTTCCTTTGTGTGAAAGAAACAATGATTAACCCGCTGACTGTCTCACTTTTCTCTCCAGCCTCCCACTCCTCAGCTGCCATTAAAGCATGTAGATACACCGGTAAGTAACACTTCTTCTGCGTAAGTGTAATGCCAAGAAGACATGCTTTAAAAGATGTTCATTCATAAAAGCTGCTATTGTTATTGCAACAAGACGCTGGAATAACAATCCTCAAGTACATTACTGTATGAAGCAAAACATACACAGACACCTGGATAGATACAGCTATGTACTTTTTTTTCTCAAGGTTCGTGCAAGACCCCTCAGTTCCTGCAATTACAGAAATAGCGCAGTTCCATATATGTTGCACCACATGCATGGAACTGAGGTCTGTAGAGAAATGGTTTCCCCAATTCAGTGTTGAAGTACTTGAATCACTTTCACAACCCTATATAACACAAACATAAGCCAAACATTACTGTCAATTATCACAAGCCAGCCTCAGCTATTGTGGCTGAAAGGGAGCAGTCCAACCAGGTTTCATATAATTATGGAAAACCTTCACAGAATAGCGGAGGAGCCGATTAATGCCAATGGCTAAGGTTTTAATTTGAGGCGTCCACATACAGTTTCTCAAAAAATCCAATTATTAAGAAGCAATAAATGTAATAACAATGACTCAGCAGGCACTGAAATATGCTGTGCTTTGAATAGTATGTTTTGAAATAGAGAAACATGTGCAGCAACCTACTGTAGAAACAAATGCTAACTACAGACAATATACAGTGCAAACTGCACACATGAGCTCTGATATTTGCATTAATTCATGTAAAATTACTTATTACTAAATTAAACCAACTAAGGAGAGTCTCCATCTAGTTGTATATTTATTAGCTTTGAATCAATAATTTAATCAGGGAATAATTCTGTTAAGCCTTGATCTCAAACATGGTTCACTTTAAATCTTACAAACTGCAAAAGGTACAAACTGCACCATCCACTACATTTAGAACTCAGTTTATAGACCCTTAAAGACTGGAGCATATTTTTCCAATGGATAATTTCAGACTGCATATGTTCAGATGTTCAGGTTAGCTGAGGTGTCTGTTCTGTGCCACTGTAAATGAATATGTGGTACATACCTGAAATTAAAAAAAAATAGTAAGCTGTAGAGACATATGTTTCTGCCAGTCCACTGCAAATTTTCTCTTATTTCTGCCAGAAATCAATGCCAAGTCCTGGCTAGAGACTAGGCATGCTTGTTCTGTCTGACATTGCTAACAGTGGAGAGTGTAGGCATAGGTGGCGGGGACCCAAGAACGGAAGAGCTAAAAAAACAAAACAAAGAAAGAACAGAGAAGAACACTACCAATGTAAAACGAAAACTGTTATTTAATGCAAACCAATCCAAAGGTCGCAATTAATTCTTTTTGACTAAAAGGGTTCCTTTGTCTTTGTCTCCTTTTTCATAAGACCAGGAATTTTGTATTTCAAAAGATAAAAGCAGAATTCTTACATCCTTGTTTTTCCTCCTCTCTTTTTTTGTGTGTCTTAATGAGTCCATGTCTACATCCAATGTCCCCCGAATGTTTAGATCAGAAGCAGGAGATGACTCAGAGTGGGATTATTAACACAGATCGGCATGTACACACCAGCTTATATAGAGATTTATCCGCAGTTTGTGCCTTGGGAGATAGAATGGAAGATGATTATGTCTAATGTGCTATATGCAAAGAACAAACAAACAAACTAAAACAGACAAAAGCACAAAAACACCGTCAAAAAATGAGAAACAATGACCAGACACATTTTATCTTGCTAGCTAGCATATACAACGTAGTTAGTATCCTCCTATTGCTGTCCAGGAAGTATGATTGAAACACATCCAGAGGTACACAGCTTTAGTTTATCAAGAGCATTCTTTAGTTAGCTTTTTGCATTTGTTGTTAGCTACCAATCTAAGCAAACATAAGGCTAAAGTAAACAGCACATTGTGCTAGCTAGCAACAAATTAAAGTGTGTATTTAGCCACAAGTACTTAACTGCATGCAGAAATTTAGTGTTTAGCACATCCTGAGGATGAAGTTGGTTATGTCTCAGTGTTTTGAGCAGCTTTTATGGATGTTTTAGAGTGCCTTTTTATTGTGAAATTAGGCTAGTGTTGGAAACCATTCCAACAGCTATGAATTGCAGCTCACTACATCTTGTCAAACACAATAAAACAAGCTGCAAACATGTGAAAACCTCCGCCCTCCTCTTATTGTTCAATGTTTATTAATCAGCGATACTTTTTAATATTTTTAACATCATTCTATCAAAATATTTTTTTTTAAAAACTGCATTTAGAAGTGTAAGTTATATTCATCCTGTTCAGTTAAATACAAGCCATGTGTTGCGGCTTCATAGAAATGTCATCTTCTTGTGTAAACAAGCAAGCAACTGAGATTGTGAGGAAATAAGGCATACTGATGAGAAACACCAGCACTAAAAATACAAAGACAGAGGCTACTAATTGTATTGACTATGGTCTTGTTAATCTTTTTAAATTGTAACTATAAAAAGTTGTCACAAACAGTTTGACAGTGGCATACTGGTATTTGGGACTAAACATATACAGTCCCTTCCAGACATTTCCAATAAAAATTGTGTTGTATCGTCAGCTGAATTTGTGATCCTAATGTATCAATCATGCCTTTTGTTTAACCAGTAAGATCTCTGTTGTGGTTGTCATGTATTTTTATAGCATTCCCAGTGTTATCCCATTGTATCAAGTTGCCTTTTATATATTTCACAGATATAGTGTTATGCTTATTGGTTAATATGTTGAGGAGTTGTCATGGTATCCTCTTCTCTCTGTACTTAAATCCTGGAGTCATCATTTATGAGGTTTTCCGTGTATGTGTGCATCTGTGGTGTGTGGACCAACATGCAGATGGAATATTTATTTGGTTAGTCCATGCAGGATACATGCATTGTGGTTTTGACTCAAAATGCACCATTGTGATTATAACAGAGTCAGTGTGGGGCCTACTGAGGGTCATCCAACGGTATAATGGGGATTTTTGAAATCAGTATTTAGCATGGAAGAGTGGATGCACAGATGTAAGCTCTACCTAGAGAAGAATCAAACATAATTCTAACAGACAGAAAATGTTATAAGGGACGATCGTGGCCCAAGAGTTGGGAGTTCGGCTTGTTATCGGAAGGTTGCCGGTTTGAGCCCCGGCTTGGACAGTCTCTGTCGTTGTGTCCTTGGGCAAGACACTTCACCCGTTGCCTACTGGTGGTGGTCAGAGGGCCCGGTGGTGCCAGTGTCCGGCAGCCTTGCCTCTGTCAGTGCGCCCCAGCTGTGGCTACAATGTAGCTTGCCATCACCAGTGTGTGAATGTGTGTGTCAATGGGTGGATGACTGGATGTGTAAAGTGCTTTGGAGTCCTTAGGGACTAGTAAAGCGCTATACAAATACAGGCCATTTACCATTTTACTATTTTATTTTTATTCCACACTTTATGTAACCTGTTATTCCATGCTGTTGACCATATTCTTAAGGGTAGTTAGGAACAAACATTTACAGGACCCAGACACCACACAAGCACACGGGATGGTGAAAGATATGAGCCAAGAAAAGCTGCAGGGGAGAGAGGGGCAGTCAGATATAATGAGAGATAATAAGACCAAGGGAGGAGTAGTTCCAGAGAACAGAAAGTGGGTGGGAGGGAGGAAGAAAGATAGAGAAAGTAGGGAGAAGACAGCTGAGAAGGAACGAAGAAAAGGAAGATGCATCATGATATATTACATAATCGCTGATCAGGCTCGGCACAAATGGAAGGGACTAACATCTCGACCATGAGGATGTTGGAGAGAATGAACGATTAAGCTTTGACCACCTGGATAATCAGTTGAAATCCCAAAAAAGAATGAGATGTACAACACCAAATTTTGCTTGGATTCTTTCGATTTTATCAAAAAGCCTGGTATTTGCAGCTTTATCATTGCTTAGAAACAGAGAGCAGTGGGTCCTCGCCATGCCTTTGGTCAGCACCATTCGAATGCATTTTGCCAACCTGCTTCCTGGCTGGAGGTGTAGTACTGGGTTCCAATTTGGCAAGGTAGGCCACTCCCATGGAATAAAGTTTTTTTTTAAAAATTTATGATTAAAAGTTGTAAAATAACTCAACTTAAATTTCTTAGTGCCTTTTAACCTATGTATACTGCATTCAGTCTTCTCCCACTATTTCTCTATGAGATACGTATATTGTAAATATAGAAATGAATTACTCAAAAATCTTTCTAAAATATTTTTAAACTGAGAGGAAAATAATTTATTTGTGATAATAAGATAAGTAGTAGTCTGTGGTAAAATGACAAGACAAGCTCAACCATTAAAAGTATTTAAAAAATGGAAAGGAACTAAAAAAGGAATTTGTCGGAAATGTTAACGTTTAACAAATTAATGGCTAAGCATTAGAAAATTGAAAACAAAATACATTAATTACAAAATACATTAACTATTTATGTATTTTTAAATATATAAAAAATGTACAGTGTATAAATATCTAATATATAAAGTATCTAAATATACACAGACACAGGTGTGAATAAACAATTGGCCTATCATGGGTGGGAAACCAGAAGGCCAGAAGTAAAACAAACAAACAAAAAACTGGGTTACAGAGTATATAAAATAAAACAAAACAAAGTAACCAAAAGTCAGTGTCTTACAAAAAAACTTCACGTCATCACAAACATGATGAATGAATTGGTATAGCAAGACAAAAGTACATATACGCATTTAAAAGTTCTTAACTTACAGTAAAAACAAATTTGTTAGCATAACTGAAATTAAACTGAAGCTCCTCCTGAAACAAAAGCAATTAAAAGATTAGAACAATAAATCAAAATTAGTACATATGAAAATTAGACTATTACTAGATTAAACTGCATGTTAATAATACAGATTAATACTCCATTCCAGATGCCTCGAAACTAGGTCAGAACTTGGGAGTGACATCTCTTAAGAGTTCTTGCGAGTTCCAGGAAAAGTGATTATACGTGATTTTTTTGCATTTGAAAGAACACATTTAAAGATCTCATTACTGTTGTGCTTATTTAGTGAGCCAGAAATACAGAACAGATTAAAAGTTTAGTTCTACTACAGTTTACAGTCAGCGCCACCATCTTGGATTGCTAACTCAAGGTATGCTAGTCTACTTCGACTGTCCAAATGGGAAATCTGAGTGAAGGGGGTCTTCTGCAAAAAATGTGCAATTAGGGACTCAATTGCAATTTGGAACTTATGATTTCTTACTTAGTCAGGAACACACCATAACAGCTGAAAGAATACGACAGATAGACATTTAGAATTGCCCAGATGCCGAGCTGCTAAATGGAATAGTGTCTAAAAATCATGGATGAATGTTTCAAATTGGAAGTTATGGAATAATAAAACAGATGAATAAAGCTGAACTCAACACATTTAAACATAAAAGGTGTTTAAGAAAAGCTTTTTTTTTCAGTCTATTGGCGCTTAGGAAACACTTGGATAGAAAAAAGTTGGGAACCACTCTTCTCCTTTATATTTATAGTAGAAGCAAGATTGAGTCAAAACACATTGCATTGGTCATGCAGTGGCTGTGGCTTGTGTTTTTAATAGTGAACATCAATAGAGAGCTTGGGTACAGATGTAAGTGTGAGGTAGATGCAAAACCCGGTGTCACCGGGCAAACAGTGAACGTTAAATCTCAGAGACGTTTACCCCACTTTACATGCAGATTGACTTTCATTTATGTATCTACGTTGCTGCAGGCTAACAGATTGTCCCTGTGATGTGACATATAACATCGCAACACTTGTGAAGCCTTGTGTGAACAGGCTGTTTCATTTTGCAAACACCATCGTCCGTGGTGCGTTTAGCATCTGGTTCCTGTCAGATCACTTAGAATTATGTGACCATTTTGGCTCATTGGGGTGGGGGGTTGCATTAGCTTTTTCTATGGGAAGCCACTCGCAAGCAGTAAGAAGAGCCATGGGAGCTCCGTGTTTAACCTTGAGACACTTCTTGCCAACATCACTTATTTAACCTCTTCAGCGGTGAAGCCGAGCGCTCACTCTTTATGACAATGTGGGGGGGGGGAAGTAAAGTATGTCACAGATGATGTCCGCGGAGATTAATTCAGCAGTCGTTTTGTCTTTTTGGATGGCTTCATCTTCCTGACTCACACAGAGTTATCCCCTCAGCCGACAGGCAGTAAGAGGAAGAGCCAACTCTAGCATCTATTATGCAGCAATTCCTCGACAGTACAGCATATTTAGTAACATTTTCCATCTGCAGCCCTGTCACAGTGAAACAACCTGTTCTCACTCTTCCCTCTGTAAATATCTGGGTAAAGGACAGGATAATTAATTGTGTGCTCGAGTCTTGACAAGACCCCAGTTCAGGATGGTTTTCTGTTAAAACACTCCTCGTTTCTCATACTTGTTTTTTTTTTTTTTTTTACACCTCTTATACTTTTTCGTTATTCTTTGTCTTCTTTCTGTTGCTCGGTTTCTTTTGTCAAGCGTCTTGGTTGAATGCCTTCTTTTGTCAGCTGCTTCTTTTACTTTTCATCATTCTGTTTCAGATGATTCTTCTCTCTCCATCTTTTCATAGCAGTTTCAGTTTTGTGTCTGTGATCTGACTTTTCCCTAATAGCTTATGTCAGACTGTAATTCAATAAAATCATCATGACTACCAGATGGAGTTTGCTTATGAATCATTTTCCTCCTCTGACTCCCACCATCTGCCTGTGTGTGCCTGTGTGTATGTGCTCACCAGGGATCTACGAGGTCCTGCAAGAGTGTGGAGATAAGGCAAAAGCAGTCACGGTAAGAAAGCACCATCACACAGCCATGTTGTATTGTTGTTCACACTGCTTTCATTAGGAGAAATAAGGGTTCCATAAGTGGAAAAAATTTAATCTATTTTTTTCTACAATCTAAACAGCATGACTTCTAAGATTACCAAATTAGTCTTTAATAAGCTCTTTAAGTCATTACAGTCCTTGATTATTATTAATGAAGATTAGAAACTGATTGTTTGTGCTGGGTGTGTAGGAATGTAAATTTTCACTCCATATTCTCCGCTGTTTGTCGTTCTTGAAGCATGGCTGTTTCTCATGCAGGGCTTTACCGTATGTCTGCTGACCAAAAACAAAACAGAACAAAAAAACTGTGCTGTTTGGCCGGTGAAATAGGTTGCGTAATATTGGAAGAGGTCATGTCAACAGTCACAGAAGGACTGAAAATCTTTTCCTTTCCAAGAAATATAAGAGTGAGCTGCAGGAGTTTACATGTGATGAAGTGGATGTTTGTGATAAACTCTGTTGGCTAATCCCAGAGAGAAATCAGAGAGTTCAAGAAATGTTCTCACAGCAGCTGCAATCCTGCACTCGAATAGAACTGGAAAACTTGTGATTGGTGCTGATAAGGTTAAAAGGTCAAAGCATCCTTTACAAGATGTGTCCTTCTAAATTGAGTTGCCTCTTAAAGATTTCTGGCAACTATACAGTAACTATGTTGAAACGTACCAGTATATTTTATTAATTTATATTTGTATTTATCATAATGAGATGTAATAAAGATGGTCTTTTTCCCAAACACAACAAAAATGTAATTTTACAACAAGTCAGAAACTGCATGAAAATGAGAAGCTGGGATGGAGATGGTTGCAAAGCGGTTTGCACCGGCAGCTATAACTGTAGATAGACTAAAATAATTACCTACAGTGTGCTATGTAAAGCTTGGCTGATATTAGCTGTTTGCCGATGCACTGGATTTGGCATTTACTGTGTCTACTGTGTACAAGCAGCTTCCCTATTAGCAACAGAGTGACTTAAACTTCACTCTCGCCATAGTATGGACAACTACACATATTAAATATTAGAGAACAAGGATATGTTTTGTATGTTTCAAATGGAAAATAAATGGTCTGATGTTTGTGATTTCTCAATTATCAAATATTGGTATCATTCTTAAAAACCCTTTACTGGTTGGGGGTCTAAGCCTGTATGACACTATATGACATGTGACAAACTCAGTAGGGTTTGCAAATGAATATTGCAGACTGAGCTTAACTCTGTGGACTCTGTGATTGAACTCTGATCAGTGCAGATCTATCAGATCTATATACAATAGAGTTGACCATTCCCTTTGAAATCACAGCTTATGTTGCTTCGAAAAGAACTTGTTGCCAATCAAAAATGTAAAATGGTGCTGTGATATAAAATCTGCCACTGCCAAGCTTCAAGACCTTCTGCACCTTCTACCTCTGCAGGAGTCAGAGTGTGGTTCAGGCCATGGAGGAGAGCTATGAGGTCGACCTGGTCTACATCACAGAGAGAATCATCTCTGTCTCTTTTCCCGCTGGGGCCGAGGAGCAAAGCTACAACACCAACCTCAAAGAGGTGGCGACGATGCTGCGGTCAAAGCATGGCGAGCACTATCTGGTAAGAAATACCCTCAGCTGAAACTGGAGCACAGGACTGTATTGACACTTTTGTTTGCTGTTCGTCAGGTTTTTTGGAAGATGGTTACAGTATATCCTTGAAAACAAAAAACAAAGATTTTCTAAAATGCATCACATGTCCATCAGTTGCTTTGATATACTCTCTTCCTGATTTCAGGTGCTCAACCTGAGCGAAGGACAGAGCGACTTAACAAAGTTAAACCATAAGGTACAAACATGACATATACTGTATATTCATGGTTAGGAAGAACAAAATTCGAAAGCGAAAGCTCATTTGATGGATAATCATTCTCAGGTTCTTGAGTTTGGCTGGCCGGACCACCATGCGCCAGCACTGGATAAGATCTGCAGCATGTGCAAGGCCATTGACATGTGGCTCAATGGAGACACACGCAATGTGGTGGTACTGCACAATAAGGTAAGGCAGAAAAACAAAGTGTAAAAACATCTGTTATAATGCGGCGGTGATGTGCTGGAACATTTATTGGCTGGGCATAGAGATTGTAAAGTTTCCCTCTAAATATGGAAATGTGATTATTTTTTTCATTGCTGATCTCATAAAATCAACATAATTTGTAGTTATTCAGTTTCATAGCTTGACATAAAACATAGTCACTGTGAAGTCACACATTGAGCTATGGACTATTGTTTTAAGCTCATCTAGCTGAAGGTCCGTTAACCTTATGCCGTGGTGAAACGTCCCCACTGAACATGTGAATTTAATCAAAATAATACACCGTGATCACATAATTGGGTTTCACCCAAAACTGTTATCAAGACAGTGGCTTATGAGCCGGATGAGCTACTGTATCACCGGTGTTCTTATTATGTATTCTGGTTGTCACTGTTTTTAACTCATTCACTGCCAGCCATTGGCAGTGAATGAGTTAAACCCATTGACTCATTCACTGCAATTGACAGCTATAGACGTCAATGGCAGTGAATGAGTTAAGGTAATCAGAAGTGAGCATAATTGGGCTAGAGCGCTAACACTTGGCTAGCTTTGGAGAACTCTGGCTTGCTTGGTTAGCAAGCTTAGACTTTAGAGATACACAGGGATATCTTATGTATTAAAACTTCTCCAAAAGGTAAAATATCACAAAAACAATTAGGAGTTTTAATTTACTTTTTCAGCTTTGATAGGCAAGTCTAGTAAATGGCATTCAACCTATTTCATAGCCACCAGTCATTCAAAGTATTAAAATTTAAAGTGGTCACCACCAGTAAAGATGTTACAAAAGGGAAAATTAGCATTAATTTAGCATTAAATTCTGCTAGTCATTTTAACTATGGCTGGTAACATGGGCATGTACAGAAATTGGCTGCTTGTGAAGCGAGCCGAAAGTTGAGAAACTACAGTTTCTTCATCTTTCAGCCTTGGAGGTTGCCGATTGTTTAGCTCTCATGTTTATGCAATGAATCCTCTGTTGTTTTAGAGTATTTGCACATGGTATCCAGATAAAGCAGGACAAGCAACAAAGTTTATGCTCGAATTGAGCCAACTGCTTTAACCAAGCAGAATGATTAAACATTATTATTTATATATAGCTCCAACTTTTGGGTTTCAATTACACGTGAAAATGCTTGAAGACCAATTTATTACCATCGAAGGGGGATTTGTTTCTGCTCTGTTTCTTGATCATTAATTCAATGATCCTTTTGGATCCCATCAATTTTCCTGTTACCCATCTTGACTCTTTATATCATTTAAACAAGCCCTGTTTTGTGTTTCTTTCACAGGGGAACCGAGGTCGAACGGGTGTTGTGGTGGCTGCTTACATGCATTACAGCAACATATCTGCAAGGTATCAAACATGTCATGATCAGACACAGCCTAAAACGTGTTAAAATGTAGTTTAAAATGTAGTGTTACATATTAGATTGCATTGGTGTTTGAGTTTAAACAGAGGTGAGCATTTTAGGCTGTCAGCACTGAAAAAGTTTGATCTGCGTGCTTTGATACTTTAAATCGAAGGGTTATGTAAGGACAGGAGCAACAATCCATCACGGTTAGACCTTGCAGTCTGGGACTTCAGCAGCCTTGAAAATTAAACAACGATGTGATTATAACAGCTAAACACTCGACTCTGGCCAGCTCATTTTTCTGGCTCTGTGAGAAGAAACGCTCTGAAAATGTCATCGTTCTTTAATGCTACCAGATGTTAATAGGTGGGAGGGTTCCTGGGGGAATGAAAGCTGCTTCATAAATGATGAAAGCTGGGGGGTATTTCTAAATCTCAGCAGGTTTTCCAAAATAAAGGCTGTTCTCCTTGTTGTTTTGTAATCTTCAAATTGTTCTGTGGTGAATGATAACATCACTTACCCAGTTCTTGTGTCTCTAAGTGCTGACCAGGCACTGGACAGGTTTGCAATGAGGCGCTTCTATGAAGACAAAGCACTTCCTGTGGGTCAGCCATCACAGAGGAGGTAAGTTATTACCTCACTTCCTATTGACATCTGCTATGAGGTGAACTAGTCTGAACACTGTAGCACTTTGCCCACATTTCCAAAGGACTCTTGCAGCCCATTTAATACTGATGCTAAGGCTCTGAAGGGTTAGTAGAGGATTTAACACTTCTTAGTAATTTTACACAGCTCTACTGTACTTGAGCACTCATAACACTTTATACAACATGTCTCATTAACCACAGCATTTAGGTTAAATGCTTTCTAACATTCACACACATTCACACTCCGATGAACGCATCAGAGAGCAACTTAGGATTAGGACCCTTTCCTAAGGGTGCTTTGAAGTGGCCAAGGGTTGAAGCACTAACTTTCTGATTAGTAGAGTAATAAATCCATGTTTGACAGTTTTGTCAAAATTAACAGAATTATGACCATCAGATTCAAATTCTATATACCACTAATAAGAATGCCAATAAGAAACTAGTTACCTGTATCTAAAAATAGTGCAATTGCAAAACTCAACTCCAGCAGACAAGGCTATAGCTACAGCCGTGAAACTGAGATTCGATTTTTGGATTTTGTTTTTGGAAAAAAGGGAAGAAAAAGTCTCAGCTCCATGCTTTTAATAGTGAGTGTGTTAACTTAATCTCTCCCATTTAGATTTAGAAAAATTCTACAGAGGAAATTCTTTCTATTTTTTTCCGTTTATCACCAATTTTGTTTTAATTAGGGTAATTAAGAGGAAACAGCACCAAGAGAGGCCATCTATCTTGTCTTGTCTGTCTGAGGAATTCCACTGGTGACTCTGGGGAGGCTGCAAGGCTTGCTGACAGTACATTCTTGTCTTTTAAGCATATCAGAGCATATTTTCTGTGACTTCATCTACACTTTTTTGCAATACAGTGGTATAACTCCAAACCAGAGCCAGTCAAACCAATCAAGAACGGTTAAAAAACATTTGAGCAATTTATTTTTTGTTGTAATTTTCACTCAAGGGACACTGTCTTCTTGTTCTCTAAGTCATAAATCTGCTCCTATTACATTATTAGTTGCCTTTGCATATTAGGCAGGGAGGTGCTAAAAGGCTTGACCCCTCTCAGTTTCCCTTCTTCACATGAGAAGATTGGTGTCTTGATCTGGGCTTTTCAGAAAGGATGAGCAGGAAAAAGGTTATGGGGGATATGCGAAGGAACACAGGAAACACCAGGGGACTTAACACCACTTCATTTAAGCTTGTGAATTAGTCAGCCAGTCATTCTTTAACAGGTCTATAGGCTTGCCCTCTGCCCCGCTGCTATTTCCTGCTTTGGATATAATTATCTCTGCCCCCAGAGACTGGCAGCATTATGGTCTGGAATGTGTGACATTAACATCAAGTGTGGGAGATGATCTTAGGCCGCTGCTTCCACGAAAGCCAGTAAAAGGCAGGATTAAAGGTGTTCCGTGTAGCACGGAATCATTAAATGATTAGTGTGAAAATAGTAGTATGCAGCAGAAAGCACAGTGAACATTTGTGTAGAGGATTGGAAGTGTTCTGATTTAAGTTATGGGACAAAACATCATTAATCTGTTTTATGTGCTTTTCTAGTTGTTCACAAAGAACTTGAATGGAAATCACAGGAATAAGGGTCACAGTACAGTGAAGTGATGGCATTAGCAGAACCCCACATACCCCAGCTTTATCTTACTCCTGTAACTTTCAAATTGGAAATCTGTCTGGCTAAAAATATAGACTCACTGGTCACTTTGCTAGGTGTAACTCACTAGTACCAGTGTGGACCACCTTCAGTTTTTCTTCATGGCATAGAGTTAACAAGGTGCTGAAAACACTTCTCAGAAGATTTCCGCCCAAATTTATATGACAGCATCAAACAGTTGCTGCAGATTTATTGGCTGAACATCCATCATGTGAATCTCACACCCCAGAGGTGGTCTGTTGGATTGAGATCTGGTGACTGTAGAGTTCATTTGAGAAGAGTGAACTCACTGTTAGGTTCATGAGTTTTGTGACATGGTGAGTTATCCTGCTGGAAGCAGAAATTCAAATCAAATTCAAATTCAAATTTTTTTATTTGTCACGTACACAGTCATACACAGTACGATATGTAGTGAAATGCTTGGACAACTGCTCGTGACCTCTGAACCGGAACTTCCTGTTTCAGCCTTTGTTTGTATTTTGGCATGAGGAAATGGCGGCGTGATCAGATTTGCCAAACGGAGGGCGGGATTGTGCCTTGTAGCCGTCCTTGACCGTAGTGTAGCAGTGGTCCAGTGTCCTTTCACCCCTGGTGGGGCAGGTGATGTGTTGATAAAAGTTCGGCGCTGCGCGTTTGAGGTTGGCGCTATTAAAGTCCCCCGTCACAATAAGCGCAGCGTCCCGGTGTTGTGTCTGGTGCTGTGTGAGTGCCTCATGCAGCTCGCATAAGGCGGTGACCGTGTCCGCTTGTGGTGGAATATAAACGGCACTTACAATGACCGATGTAAATTCCCGAGGTAGATAAAAAGGACGACACATGATGGACAGTAGTTCCAGATTTGGTGTGCAGGAGCGTGTGAGAGGAACAACGTTCGCACTGTTGCACCAGTTGTTGTTCACCATTAAACACACGCCGCCTCCCCTTGACTTCCCCGAGTCCCGTGTCCTGTCCATGCGGTGAACCGAGAAGAACTCGGCCGGCTGGATGGCGTGGTCCGGCACCGCTGGGTTCAGCCATGTCTCGGTGAAGCAGAGGAGATTGCAGTCCCGAATGTCTCTCTGGAACTTTATCCTGGCCCTGAGGTCGTCAAGCTTGTTCTCCAGTGACTGGACGTTGGCGAGCAGGATGCTAGGCAGAGGTGTGCGGTGTGCACGAGCTCTCAGCCTGTTCCTGACGCCGGCTCGCTTCCCTCTAGGCCGCCGCCGCTTCCCTTTGTTCTCCCTCGAGATCTCACTCGGCCAGCTCGGATCCGGAGTTAAAAACTTCGAATTGTGAGTACATTGTAAACCAATAGAAACAAGAGTGTCACTGTCATACCTAATGTACCCAATGGTGA